CGAAGGGCATATATATATTGGGACAGGACTGTGTAGAGCAGGTGTGGAAGTTGTATATATGATCCGTAGTAGTCCGTTTGAATAAATCATAGATAGATAGATGTATGAAGGACGAGTTTCGCCTTGATCTCCTCAGGCTCGGTAGGGCAACCAGGGAGCAGTGGGTGGTCTTTATTTGCGTGGCTGGTCAAAAATTGGTGTTGAGCTTGCTATTGTATCGTTTACTTATTAGGCTTTACCTATTGTCCTTGCCCGATTGTTTAAAAATTCTCTCTCTCTCTCTCTCTCTCTCTCTATATATATATTAACCTTCGGAGTTAAAATTTGATCAATCTGCACAAATTACAACTTGTGAAGGTGTGCTTTGAGTCCATGCTCTATTGTAAATATAGCGCCTATAAATAAATTCTTTGCTCTGGGTGAGCGGGGGAAGATATTTATTTTGTGGAATGAAGTATGTATGGTTCGCTCCAGAATGGATGTTGAGGTGGCAGGCAATAAATGAACGAAATTCCCCCATCCAATATCGTGGGGTAGCACTTGAGAAATTGAGAAATGTCCAACTGGGCCCTGTCCGGGGATTTGGACATCCGCTGTGATTTTCCTGTATTTTTTCTTAAAAGTAGGTGTGTTTTGGCTCCGTTTGTTTCTGCATCTCTTATTTCCTTTCTCTCTCTTTCATTCATTCTGCGCCACCGGATTTTCCTCCTTCTGAGGCTTTGATTCTCTTCTTCTCGTTTCTCTGGACCTGAGATGTACTGCCAGCTAACACTATATTACAAAGCTGCCCCAGGCACAGGTTGTAGATACTAGTATATAGAACAGCCCTGGGCGAAGCTCTTCAGCATGAGATAAACCCGATCTCTTTAAGATTGTGTGCGTGTGTGTGGGTGGAATTCGAAGAGGCATAGACAATGTACATGTCTACTGAAAAGGCAAGAGAAGAAGGTACTATTGATGATTCCATATTCTTGAACCTAGGAACCTAGGTAGATGTGGAGTAGGGAGAGACAAGGATATCAGGTAACAGCATCATCTGGTACTTCGTCAACAAGCGCTGTTGTGAGCCCGTGTTAAGGGCGCTTGATGTGCAATGTAGCAGAGGGGGACAAGCTGCCCACTTCATCAGTTCCGTTGCACACTTAACCCGCCGCAAGACAATGAATGGGATGAAAACTTTGGCCAAACTCAAAATGTCAACGTTGACATCATTATGCCGCATTTCACCGCTTTGGCCCAAAGCTGCCTATTTCCACCACGCTAAACCTGATCGGTAAGCGAGTTTCCCACACAAAAACTTCGCTGTGCCAGTGTCCCGTTGCGCCTCCCCCCCCCGACATCAATAACTGTCAACTCCATCACAGTCTCGAGCATTTGCAGTACTCTAGACCGCCAGGATGCCGGTAAGTGCTTCACAGACCGTCCGTTTGCGGGGAAAACAATATATGCCAGAAGAATAAAAATCATGGGCCAAGGGCTAATTTTTCCCCGACTTCGATATCGTCTGAATAAAACAGAGCCATAAATCGTTCCGTACCAAGCAGAAGCTTGCCAAAGCCCAGAAGCAGAACCGCCCCATTCCCCAATGGATTCGTCTGCGGACCGGAAACACCATCAGGTAACATTCCCCGTTCTATTTTTCGTTTGCGGAGCCTGGATCAGAGGGAGGGGAGAAGGTTTTGGAGATTGACCGTGGGGAGGGGGAGGGGGAAGTACGGCCAGGGGGATTCCGTAAAACGAAAGTTGGAAACGGGTTAGGGAACGCAAGATTCGAAAGGGATATAATACCCGAACGACTGTAGGGCGTTATAGACCTAGACATGCTTGGCAAAAAGGAGGATATCTTGAACCAAACAAAGTGACTCGAAAGGGCCGCATCGTATCACAAGATATATGATATATGATTTGGAACAGTTTGGCTGACAGGCACATTTCTCTCAACATAGATATAACGCCAAGCGGAGGCATTGGCGCAAGACTCGTCTCGGCATCTAGATTAATCGCAGAATCAACGATCCTTCCCCACCTCAAAATGAACCCGCAAGGCCCTCTTCTCCGTCAATCCTGATCTTATTCCTTTTACTCTTCTATTTTCTCTATCTCGGTACATTCTTACGTACGGACTCCGAAACTTTTATAAAAAAACTTTGACTCGAGAAGGGGACAATAATACCCTGTGATTTCAAAACTAGGGATAAAATGGACGGAGTAGGGATTCCGACAATATCAGAGTAATGAATGAATGAGGGAGAAGCAGGGGAAGTGTACCTGTGAAAATAGAAATTTGGTTGGGTGTTTCGGACCTCGATCTTTTGCTTTTTCCCATTTATTTTATTTTATTTATTTCTTCTTCTTTTTTTACTTTCTGTTACTGCCATGGGATCCGGACAGAAACAGAAGCAGAAACAGAAGCAAGGGAATCGCATCAAGACTTCGTGGTATCTCTATTGGATGAACTATGGAGAATGGGATCAATGTTTGGGGATGCAAAAGGGGAAGGGAAGGGGAGGATTGCTTCTGCTTTTGATGTCCATGACGAGCTCGAATGAAAGTTTCTTTTCTTTTCTTTTTAATTCTCTTCCTTGTTTTCTTCCCGTTCGCCATTCTCCCTCCACCTTATGAAGGTAAAAGTAAAAGTAAAGAGACAAAACATCTTCCAATCAAACCATCCTTTTCTCAGCTTATTCTAGCTTGGTCTTGCATTTCTT